CGCTGGTTTGAATGGGCTGCCTCCAGTTTCCCCTTTGTTTTGCTGACTCCAGCTAGCGCTGTGACGTCGCTGACCCTAGTTACCTGTGGTTGGCCTGGCCGTGCCTCACTCAGAAAATAACAGACCAATCAGAAAAGAGGCTCATGAAAATTAATTAGACAGGCCAAAATTGACCTGTTCTCAGCAGAGCTCCTGAGAAAGTAGCTGTAAAAATATATTGAGATGGTTTTTGGTACCGTAAATATATATTCTTAAGGACATCAAAACCTAAAATAAAACTCCAGAAAGGTGTCAAATATGGGACCTTTAAAGCCTATATTATTTTTTAACTCTACAGTTGTGCAGTAAAATTCACTTTAAAGATTCTCAAAAATAAAAAAAATGCCAAAAATGTGTCTCTTTGTGGAAAACAAAAATTTTTAAGATGAGAATGACATGAAATTACCAATATAACCAGTAGATGGCAGCAGAGGATCACTCATCAGCTCAGTTGCCATTTCCACTCCCTAGTGTTTGTCACATCTTGCTTTTGGATTTATTATAAAATGACTATTATGCCACATTTTTGTACTTTTACTGTACTGAAGTATTAATAAATAAGGTAAATTATTAATGGTATAATAATTAAATAAGTATTTATTTTAAAATAAAAGTATCTTATCTTTAACTGTAGAAGCTGATAAATATATTCAGCCAACACAGACTTGTCTCTGCTGTAGTGTTGTTACTCTGAATTTACTATGCATTAATGCACAGGTCTATTTTGACATTGGCTTGTCATATAGTTCATTCCGTCCATTGCTACAATATTTATCACTGTCAGTCATAGAAATGACTTGCGGAACAATTCAGCTGATTCACTAGCGTAATTTTTTACATTCACGTTTGTCATTCCTGAAACAACAATATCAGAAAGTTTTATTTTTGTATATCGTTTTGCTTCATTATATAAATTATATCATTGTAATTTCTTACAAGTTTCATATTATGTTCAATTGTCTTAAAATGCATATCTGTCACTTGTAGTTTGCTATCTCTTTTATGAAGGAAAGCAGAAGTTTTTACAAACTGTTCTTTTCCGGAAGCTGAAGAAGAGACTGTAACACTTTTAAGAGAGACTAAGATTTATTTTTAACTTGTTTTTTTACTGTTGTTTTTAAAATAATATAAATATATATAAATAGAAAATGGAGATTCAAGATATAGCCTACTGTGATGAGCCCTGGGGCTAAACTATGAAATTGATTAATTCAGTTTCTTTTGTAGGCTATTATTTACCTCAATACTACTGTTAGACCTTAGTTAGTAGGCTAAAAAAAGGTTCTTTATTGGCATCAATGGAGAATGAAGAACCCTGAACATCCATCTTTAATTGGTGAGGTCCAGTAATTTGTCCTCACAAGTGGGTTGACATATTATTTCACTATATAAATGAGGGCATTTGCCCTCATAAGTATAGTAAAACAAGTACACACACACGCATACACAACTGGTCAAAAGTTTGGAATCTTTCATTTTTTTAAATGTTTTTTAAAGAAGTTTGTTATGCTCATCATTCACCAATGATCCATTTATTTGATCAGAAATACCATAATATTCAGTAATGTTATGAAATATTATTATAATTTAAAATAGCTGTTTTCTATGTGAATGCATTGTAAAGTGTAATTGATTGAATTTTCAGCATCAAACTCTAGTCTTCAGTGTCACATGATCCTGATATAATGCTGATATAATGCTCAAGAAAACATTTCTGATTATTATCAATGTTGAAACAGTTGTGCTGCTTCATAATTTTGTGTACACTATTGTTTACAAGATTTTAGCTAGTGCTGTCAAACGATTAATTGCGATTAATCACATCCAAAATAAAAGTTTTTGTTTACATAATATATGTATGTGTGCTGTGTATATGTATTATGTATAAATAAATACACACACATGCAGGTATATATTTCAGAAAAATATGTTATTTTCATATATTAAATATATTTATTTATAATATAAATTATATGAATATAAATATAGACATGTAAACACGTAAATATTTTCAATATATATACTGTATGTGTGTGTATTTATATATACACATAATAAACATACACAGAACACACACATATATTATTCAAACAAAAACTTTTATTTTGGATGCGATTAATCACGATTAATCGTTTGACAGCACTAATTTCAGCAAGATTTGATAATTACGCTTTCAGTATCCCAGATCACATTGCAGAGCTCCAGAGGCCTCATGTATAAAACTTTACGTAGATTTCATCCTAAAAGTTTGCGTACGCACAAAAGCCTACGCCAGAACTTGCCCTTAGTAATACTCAGTCAGAGGAAGATTGTGCGTACATGAATCTCCACCCTGTCTCCTCCCCAAAATAACCATATATGGAGCATAGAACGCCTATGTATTTACGATACATAACGTCATCTGCATATCATTTCCATGCATATTCCATACATGTGACACTAAATAGTAAAATAAAATACCACATAGTATTTTCAATTGTTTTAAACAAATCAAATTTATGCATTTTTGCCTATAAGGTTGTTACGGGGCTGACGAGACCTGAGACTTGCGGATCCATTTGCAAAGCTTTATTAAGCAGAAGACAGAGACGTGGTCATAACAGGCATGGTCAAACAATGACAAACAGGTATATGGCGGGCAAAACACAAAAATAGTCCTAGGGCTAGCGCAGGTCGACGATCGGCAGACAGAATCAAAAATGGACAAGACTAAAGGGGTAAATCCAGGACAACAGGCGAAGACCAGAAACCGACAAAACAGGCAAGGCAATACTAGGCTAGGCTAGGCTAATGAGGGCTCTGTAGTGTAGCTACCAACAGATAGGCGCTAAATAATACTCGGCAGAGGGAAGGGATCAGAGTGAGTGTTAAATAGTGAGGGAGTGATATGAAACAGCTGGGTGCAATCAGTGTTGTGTGCAATTAGTGAACCAGCTGTGTGCAATCAGTGCTGTGAATGATGGGATATGTAGTCCGGGATGATATGCAACAGTGTGAGTGCGAGAGTCAATGAAAATGGGAAGGGTGACCTCTGATGGTTAGCCGACGGAAGTTCATGGACCGGATTCGTGACAAAGGTAAACATATTTTTAGGATGTTCATATAGATTTTAATGGAAAGAGATGGACCCTTTATTTTTTTTTATTTTTTTTGCATTGTAAATAACTGTCTGACTCAGCACTCTATTTAAAACACATAACATAAATAGAGTGACACACTCTATTTAAAATACATAATTTGAAGGAAAATGTAAGATATGCACATTTTATTTTCGAAATATTTTGTGATTGACACAATCACAAAATATTTCGAAAATAAAATGTGCATATCTTACAGTTTTCTTCAAATTATGTCTTTTAAATAGAGTGTGTCACTATCAGTGTTGGGGTAATGCATTACAAGTAACGCGAGTTACGTAATCAGATTACTTTTTTTAAGTAACTAGTAAAGTAACACATTACTTTTTCATTTAGAAGGAAACATCTGAGTTACTTTTTCAAATAAGTAACTCTAGTTACTTTGTTTCCATGTATTGACTGACAGGTCTGGTGTTGCCATGTTGAGAGAAATCCGGAGTAAGTGCAGAGCGTTGTGTGTGAACATGATCTTACTGTAGTTCTAGACTAAATATGAACATGTGTTTACTCATCTCACGTGCACAAAAACAGATTCAGTATTCCTCAAAATGAATAGAAACAGTCAAATGCAAACTCAGAATATTATACAAACCTGCAATAATGAAATATGTTAAATAAGACAAATATAATTTATGTATTTAATCCCATTTTATTAACCAATGTCTTTGCTACTGACCTACGATGATCCAATTCAACCTTACTAATAATCAAAAATGACACATTTGTGTTTGATTTTAGTTATTGCTGAATAGTGTTGAACTTTCTTCTCCTGCGTCATATTCTTCATGCGATTTGTTTGCGCTGCGCCTTCTACTGTACAGACGTGAATTTACATTTCCTTCAGCCTGAGGCGTATTCATTTCACTTTTCTTATGAAAGGGCTTTTATGTTTGTAAAAGACGAACTTTTTTATATTAAAAAAAAAACAAGCAAGCCCTGCCCAGATTTAAAAAGTAACTCAGAAGTAACGTAACGCATTACTTTCCATAAAAAGTAACTAAGTAACGTAATAAGTTACTTTTTTTAGGGAGTAACGCAATATTGTAATGCATTACTTTTAAAAGTAACTTTCCCCAACACTGGTCACTATACTGGAAAGGGGTTATCATTAGGCTACACTCTTAAAAATAAAGGTGCTTCACAATGCCATAGAAGAACTTTTTGTCTAAAACTAAATGGTTCCATAAAGAACCTTTAACATCTGAAGAAACTTTCTGTTTGACAAAAGCTTCTTTGTGGCAAAAGAAGGTTCTTCAGATTATAAAAAAGTAAGAAAAAGATGGTTCTTTAAAGAACTTTTGACTGAATGGTTCTTTGTGGAACCAAAAATGGTTCCTCTATGGCATCGCTGTGAAGAACCTTTTGAAGCACCTTTATTTTTAAGAGTATGCTGTCTGTCTGTGCGTGACATCTATTTCCTGTCCCCTGTTGAGAGAAATTGGGAGTGAGTGCAGAGGCAGAGGCCTTTTCTTCAGCCTAAACTTATTAATTTCACTCTTGGTGTAAAAGGGCCTTTACAGTCACCAAAAATATAACTTTTGGGTTTTCTGTTATTAAAAATAAATAAGCAAGCCCAGCCCAGGTGAAAAAAAGTAACGCAAAAGTAATGTAATGCATTACTTTCCATAAAAAAGTAACTAAGTAACGCAGTTATTATTATTTTTTTTTTTATGGAGTACTGCAATATTGTAATGCTTTACATTTAAAAGTAACTTTCCCCAACTGTCATTATGTTATTATGTCTGTCATTATGTCCATGTTCCAAAGTCATCAGACGAAGTCACGTTCACATCAATGATCATTATTCGGCAAAAAAATATTTTCTCAGAACATGCTATTTAGAACAAATGCACCATGTGCCAAGTAATCCTCGCTGTGGTTAAAACATTAAAACACATCATACCACAGAAAAATTATTCGAAAGCAGCACATCCACTACAAATATTTCTATTTAAGTTCATATGAAAAATTTTTTGTGGATAATGATTTCATGAAATTTCAGTGCTTGACTCCATTAATGAGAGTGTCATATTTAATCTAAATGTGTATTATCAAATGTAAACAGACTTTAAAATCATTGTTTACTTCATTATTTCGCTCACTCCAGTAAAAGCATGCGTACGCATGGTCTCGAGTGTTCGTATGGTGCGCACATATTTACGCCAAGTTAATTTTTTATAAATCTTGATATGTGCATGGAAAATTGCGTATGCACATTTCTATGTCCACTTTGTGCGTACGCAACGTTTATACATCAGACCCTATTTAGGTTTTGCTGGTTATCAGACATATAAACATAAAAAAATTATTGCCATTGTTATATATCTGCTATTAACTGTTCTTTTCACCTATTTAGAGAGCATGTACAGGCAGCAGAACTGTCCTCTTCATCAAAGAACCCTGAGAATTACTGTTCAAACTATCTTTAGGAAGTGAGAGTGAGAGGTGAAAGGAATGATGGAGAATATAAGAGAAAGAGGGAATAAGAAGAGGTTGGGAACCCTTCCATAGTTGGAGTTGGATGTTGGATTGAATGCAACAATTCCAGGTGGGTTGCTACCTGTGTAAGACTTGAAAATAAGACTTTCGAGTAAAACTCGAAATGCCGGACTGAATCCACAGGGAGCCATTCCTACTGAGCATTGGCCCTCCAGAGTCTCCCTGTATTGACAAATAGTCAGCATTTATATCTCTGACAGTATATAGCAAACAACTGTTATAGACATACTGTAAATATGCAATAGTGTAGCCCAATGCTAAAATATGCCGGCCGTGTCTCCACTAAAGCATTTTGTTTTTCAATTACTTCTAGTTGGAGTGCTGAGCATTTTTCTCATCACCTAGGGTGTATCTCAAACTGGTGCTTCCTCGTATCCTTGCTCCTTTGTCCTCCAGCTCATGACCCGGATCTCAGTTCTCTAATTGCACCATACACCAGGACGTGAGGTACGAGGAGCGAGGAAGCTTCCAGAGGAGCTATAAGAAAAAAATGCACAGGTGTATCCTATGCAGAAGTCGATCAAGGATACACCTTTTATAGTCTCTAAAAAGCTGCTGTCTTATTTACATTGTGTGTACATGATCTTTATTATAACTCGCAAGCTCAGCTCCGTACTCAACAAAAACTTGTTGCATCCAAGAAATCAATGATATAGGCATCTGTGATATAGGCTACATTGCTCAACACTACAAGAGCTTGTTGAAATTAGAATCCTTTTGGAGCGTAGCGATAGTTCTGGCAGGCCATGTTAGTCAAGTTCGCATCAGCTGACACTCAGCTGATCCACATCTACCTATAGGATCACGACACCAATCATAATTCCCTTCATAAGGTCCCTTCAGTCATTATTCAGCAGCTATCGCTTCGCTCAGGAACTAATCACCCACCTCCATCCCCAGCTCCTCCTCTCGTCCAGTCAGGACTTGGCAGTGAATATATCGAGGCAGACCACTGAATCATGTTGTTAAAATAATCACGTAGAACATTAATGGTATCTGCTACATTTATCATTGATGTTGGTTCTGTTCTGTTACCCTAGGGCGGGGATTCAGCTCTCCCTGCTCCTATCCATGCTAGGCTGCGTGGATGGGCAGGGAGTGTTTGCCCAGAACAGAACCATTCCCCCAACCTAAAATGTATGCTAATCGTAAGTTATATTGAGTGTTTCTCCACCAATATGCTATTATTAAAGCTTCAACTGAGGGTGCTCTTGCTTTCATTTGAGGTCTTAATTTTAATTCACAGTTGAGTAGTGTTTTGTAAATTGCTTTGCATCAAAAAGGGTTAAAATGAGTGACTGGTATCTTACCGGACAAATACTTTTCCCTCCCTGATTTAACAATCCAGCACAAATCATATTCCTTGTGAAGAACCATCCATAAACGTTTTTACAGTCACTTTTGCTCACAACTGGTATCATCACCTCCTGCAGAATTTTAGGAAACTGGCCTGGGACACAGATGAGAGGGCAAAGTTTACGGCATTTAAAAACTATTTCTAGGTGAATTGTTGAGGTTTACAGCGAATGTTCACTCACCTCCAGGTTGTAGCCTGCCCCATCCAGTGACCCAGCTCTCTGTACCTGCATCAAATGTACTATTTGCAGTAGACAGACAGACCGGCCTAATGTAATCAGAGAAATTCACAGCGGAGGAGAGCTGGATCAGTGCTATATCATTGTCAAGACTATAATCATCATAATTAGGATGGGTAATGATTCGTCTCGCTGTCCTGTTTGTCTCATAAGGGTTTGAGCCGGATTGGCGCAGACGCCCGAAGTACATCACAATGTTAGACACACCGAATCTGACAACAGAGAAATCACACTAGTATCAATAAGCTCAGTGGTGGACGAAGTACAAAAAAACAAGTACTTGAGTAAAAGTACAGAAACCCTAATAAAATATTACTCCAGTAAAAAGTACTAAATACTCCTTTTGATTTTTTTCTCGAGAGTACAAAAGTATTTGATTTTCAATGAAGTTTAGTATTAAAATGTAAAAGTACTGATCAATGAATGATTATTTTGTAACATTAGCATATATAACAATTTTGTATTATATACTTTATATAACCCTACTACTCAAAATGCCTGGGGGAGGGGGACTTGTCAAAATATTCAATATATTAAAATATTCAATATATTAAAATATCAATATATATATATATATAATGTGTGTGTGTGTGTGTGTGTGTGTGTATGTCCCTGTTACACTTAATGTTTACACATTATATATAAAAGAGAGAACAACTGTAATTCTATTTTGTATTTTATTAATATTATCTTTTATTTAATATTTTTAATACTAATTATACATTTCATAGTGTTTTTATGCATTTTAAAATTATTCCAAAATAATAACTAAAGGCAGTAACAGTTTGAACAATATTTTGGAAACACTTTGCAGTGTTTCATTAGTTAGTTAACATGAACAAAGAATGAACATTACTTCTACACCATACCAATCTTAATAATATTAATTTGAACATTTACTAATGCATTATTAAAATCAAAAGTTGTTTGTTAATATTAGTACTATTTGCTAATATTATAACTTTTTTTTTATTAACTAACGTTTAAAAAGATTAATAAATACTGTAATAAATGTTCATTGTTTGTTTATGTTAGTTAACAAATTAACTAATCTTAACATATATATATATATATTTTATTTGTGAACTTATGTTCAGCTGTTCTTTTTAATGGTCAACTTATCTTTGGGTCATCATCATAAAAGCTCTGTCACAGAAACGAAGGTATATCTTTCATTTCATCAAGCTGAATGCTCACTAAAAACTGGCACAGTCGTCATGTTTTCAGGCCATTTCAAGTTTTATTATGACATGACATTAATAATTTGGCATTAATACTTTTTTTTTTTTTGCGCCATCAGTCGCACTCACATGATCTCCATTCTTGGCTCATTTTGAGTCGGTCAGACTTCTGAATTCTCTGAATTGTTAACTAGAAACTGGATCATTTGAATCAGCGAGTTGTTGACTCGAGAATTGCTGCAATTCATTCAGTCCAGTATGTGAATGAAACGTTCAGTTCATTGAAAAAAATCTGTTCATTCACGAATCGGATGCCGCATTAAGAAGGAACGACTAAAGTGTACTGGAGTACTGAAATGTACTGGAGGAAAAGTAAGATATTATGCTTTGGAATGCAAGTAAAAGTTCCTCAAAACAAATGCTCTGACAAAGCACAGATACTTGAAAAATGTACATAAGTACAGTAATGAAGTGAAAACAAATACTGTCCACCACTATATAAGCTTTATTTAAGCCTTAAACTTCATACCTCTGGAAGCAGTGAGCTGCAGATAAAACCCAGTCTTTAGTGATGAGAGTCCCGCCACAGTGATGACCAAAGCCGACGACATGAATGCTGACCTGCCACGGCCAAGCCCCTGCTTTTGCCCTCCCCCCTCCAACAATCTTATTGTTTAGGGGGGCTCGGCCACATACTGATGAGAGAAGGAATATATGAATTATATTTTTTAAATTCTTCATACATAGAAGACACATTCTGTGTTTTATGGTCATTATGACAACGTACCATCTAACTGGCAGAGGGAACCTGTGTGCATAGACAAAGACAAAGACGAAGTAAGCAGACAATCATCGAGACAGAGCTGAAAAACTGGTTTGTGTTCCTCACAATCACTCATTTGCTTTTTACATCATGACATGAATAACCTAAATCCAGTTAGTCACCGGTCACATGCAGTGTGTATGTGAACTAGCTGCAGGCTTACATTGTGCTTTCACGCTGACTTTGACCTAAAGCTTCATCTACTAAATTATGCATTTATAAATAAATTCATACAAATTCAGATTTAATGTTCCCTCCTGGTGGAATTACCTGCCCAACTCAATCCCTCTTCATATATATATATATATATATATATATATAAAAACTTGTAATACTAGCTTTTCTAATCTTTTTGTATTATTTCTATTCTGTTTTCTTTTTATGTATTATGTAATTATTTAAAAAAAAAAACTCGCTACATTTACTGTGTTAAGCTAACTGAGACTTGTTATAGCACTTGTATATCATTGCTCTTTTGTTGATTTTGATTGCTTCCATTGTCCTCATTTGTAAGCCGCTTTGGATAAAAGCATCTGCATAATGACTAAATGCAAATGTAAATGCACTCTTTTACATTTGTGATCGAAGTGATGAAGTTCCTACCAAATCTAGCATTCACATTCACAGACAATTTTATACATTTAATCCACTGTCCATCGCCATATATAGTGCCAGTATACGGTAATGGATTGTGGATTAAATATATAAAAATATGTGTGAATGTGTAATGCAATTATGTAATGCAAACAATGAGCAAATTTCCATAACCACTGAACTTTCTAAAAATAAAATCTTTATTTTAAAGAACCAAGACCAGATGCTCTGCACTGACATTGTATTGCCCTGTTTATGAGTTGGTGCTTTATCTAATCAGAGAATGGACTTGCATGTACTTTCATAATTCTAACCTACTTACATAGGTACCTCTATATCGCCACCATATGAGAAAGACATTATGTACAGTCAACACTATTCATACTCAAAATACCAGAACATCTTTAAAGAGTGTTCTGTTAACAGCATTTCAGACCTGGAGGTATATGCAACATTATGACCCTTTGAAAAATTAGAAGTATGAAAGTGGAGTTTTTACAAGAAGTGGATGATCACTGGTTTCTCCACAGTCACACGACAGGTAAAACCAGATGACTTTCTAGTAAGTCACAGTAAGTCACATTATATTGGGAGAAACAATCAAGGTGAAAACAGTGAGGATCTTTTTTTAGAAACATACTCTGTATTTGCAGAATAAACAAATCATTCTTAAAAAAAAGAAAAAAAAAGAAAGAAAGCTCTAGAAAAATACAATGAATTACAGGGCAATATTGCAGATTTACAGCCTACTGGACATGTGGAATATGTGTCACTGTTGCTACATCATTTGTTGTAAATCTGAATCTGATCTGGCTTGAGTTTCCTGCCAGTCTTTAAAATTTCAGTCCCCGCTTAAAGCATTCATAGTTTCAGATCGACTGAATCACGCCTTGACACGCTCTCTGTTGTGAAATTGAGCTGTAGCCTAATGCAAAATTACACCCATTTGCACATCATGAACAAACATTTCAACCCCGATAGCAAGGTAGCGTTGATACAATGTTGAGTTTATTGGTTCATCATCTTGGTTGAGACTGATATTTCAATATTTAACCACTTACAATCATGACATACTCAAATTCAAATGTTTACCCTACACACATACAATGGAGGAAATGAAAACAAAATGGTTTCATTGTAAAGAAAACCATTTGAACTTCAAAATATGAGTGTAATTCTTTATAAATAACATTATATATATTTCAAATATTACAATAAACACAAAAAAACAGGCGCTTTTTGATTTAAAAAAAATATATATATATTTTTAAAAATCTGTAATTCAGGTTCTATTAGGTCCATCTCTTTGCAATTTACTTTGTTTGATGCCATTAGATGCCAAAATGTCCCAGAAAAAGTTATTGCATTATAAGTGAAGCGAGTCAAATTGTCCTTTTTTGCATATACATGTCATTTTGAGTTTCCTTTGCAAAAACAGGTTTTATAAAACACTTTACCCCAATAATTCTATTTTACTATGTGCCATAAGCACTTTTCTTGATTATTGATTGAATTATGTTTCATTTTTATGTTTTTCTAAGTAGTAATATACAAAATGGCATAAGCGAATTGGACCAATTTCACATTTTGTGTTTTCTACAATCCAGTGTTATTCTTTCAGGATACAGAAGACTGAATACATTATAAAATAAATCTGGTCTATCACAATCTAAAATAGAATCCACATCCTCCAGCTTTATATCATTCCATTTATATGCATTCTGTATTGGTATACTGATTCAAAGCATCTTCTTACCTCATCAGCTGAGCCATCCCTGTATCCAACTACCTCTTCCTGCCAACATCTTTGCATCCCTGGACCAGAGCTGAGCTAAAACGATAGCTGCGGCTGCTATGACCTTCAGAGCGTGAAACAAACAAATAAATGATCATTCACACAGCGCTGTAATGATTCCATGTATATTTACTGAAATGCATAATGTACAGTCCTTTTCTGTCAATAAACAGTTTTATCCGATTGTTAGCTGTGCTATCACGTTTCAAAATAAAGATTCAAAGATCACAAACGGAGAAAACACGCCGATAAAGCCTCACCAGACGCGGTGAGATTGCATTAGGAAGACTGCTTAGATTACATAATAGAGTGTGGGAGGAAGGACAACTTCCAAAAAGTTGGAAGGAAGCAGTTAGTTCCTATTAGGAAACCAGGGAAAGATCCTGCAAAACCTAATAACTATAGACCAATTGCGTTGACATCCCATATAGGTAAAATTATGGAATGTATGGTAACAGACAGACTGGTCTATTTTTTGGGAGAAGTGGGAATTAATTGATTCTTATCAAAGTGGATTCATGAATGGAAGAGGGAAAATGGATCCAGTACTATGCCTGGAAGATTAAATAAGGAAATCCCAGGTAAATCAGTGGCAAGCAGGAAATCATTGAGGGATATATATGTTTCTATGTTGCACTGATTAAGTCTGTTATAGATTATGGTTGTATAGCATATAGAGATGCAGCAAGAACTACACTGGCTAAATTGGAAGTAATACAAACCCAAGCACTTAGGACAGGGGTAGGCAAGTTCGGTCCTAGAGAGCCGCAGTCCTGCAGAGTTCAGCTCCAACCCTAATCAGACACACCTGAACAAGCTAATCAATGTCTTCAGGATTACTAAGGCTATAGGCAGGTGAGTTTTGTTTTTCAGGGTTGGAGCTGAACTCTGCAGGACTGCGGCTCTCTAGGACCGAACTGGCCTACCCCTGACTTAGGATATGCAGTGGGGCTTTTTGGACATCACCTGCAGTGGCGTTGCAAGTAGAGATGGGTGAGATGCCTTTACATTTAAGGAGGGAACAGTTGGCAGCTAACTATTGGGCAAACCTACAAGGACATGGTAGGTCCAACCCTACTAGAGTAGTAATGCAGGTATGCTGGGAGCATGAAAGGGTTAAAAGTCAGCGTTTTGGATGGGTATGTGGTGCTATTGGAAAAGACTTGGGTTCGGAGGGTATGGAATTTAGTCCGACAGTTCCGTTGCCAGTCAGACCACCTTGGTTGTTTGTGGAACCTATAGTGGACATGCAGATATTAAATAGTAACTTAAAAGAGTAGAGTGGAGGTGGATTTATGTGAAGTGTTTCGTAATTATCTGAATGAGGAGTTTAATGGGTATCTGGATATTTACACAGATGGGTCTAAAGATCCTCAATCTGGGCAAACAGGGGCTGCATTCGGAATACTAAAAATGGGAATTAAGGTACAGAAGAGACTGTCTGATCAATTATCCGTATTTACAGTGGAATTGATGGGTATCTGGTTGGCTCTACAGTGGGTAGAAGAAACAAGACCAGATAAAGCAAAAGGTAATTTGCTCAGACTCTAGTGCAGTCCTAAAGATTTTGCAATAATTTAAGTCACAATCAAGACAAGACATAGTATATGAGGTACTGGAATGTTACACAAGGATTTCTCAGTTGGGGGTGAAGGTAAAATTTACCTGGGTACCAGCACATGTGAGGGTTAAAGGAAATGAAATGGTAGATGGTTTGGCAAAACAAGCCAGTAAAAGAGAAGTTGTTGAAATATCAATCTCAATAAGTAAAGCAGAAGGTAAATCAAAAATCTGGATGGAAATTATGAAAAAGTGGCAGAGTAGTTGGGAAAGAGAGGAGAAAGGGAGACATTTATACAGAATACAACAGAAGGTTGGGACAGGGAAGATCACTGGAAGGAATCGAAGGGAAGAAATAATTTTCACTAGGTTAAGGATTGGATATTGTGGGTTAAATAATTGCTTACATATCCTAGGTAAGCATATACCAGGAAGATGTGGATTTTGTGACAGTATTGAAGCTGTTGAACATGTGATACTTGAATGGCAAAAATATGAGACAGAAAGAATAAAGATGAAAGAAAACATAAGGAATTTGGGGGTGCAAGGGAATTCACTTCTGGGAAAAACTTCAAATTATTTTAGTACTCATTTATTTAGCTTCCTGAAGGACACTGATATAGCAAATAGGATATAGAATACAGTTTTGTAAATCATTATGATTATTAATTAAAGGGGAGGGGGGAGAAGAGTTGTCTCCCTTCTAGTTAATGTCCGTCTAGCTCCGGTTCACACTCCAGTACAGTAGGTGGCGGTAAATCACCATTGAAGTTGAATGCCAACCGCCGTTAAACATCAAGGAAGAAGAAGAAGAAGAAGAAGACAAAACCCACAGTAGGTGGCGCTAATGTGAAAATACAAGCTGGCAATAAAGAAGAAGACTGTTCTGAGGTGAAGCGAGCAGTTCACGGTATTCCACATACACACTTATACTGTTTGTTTAAGCGACTTTTTACAGGCTCATTTCTATATTGTTTTCATCGGGTTCAGCGCTACTTGTGCGTCTTTTCTGGCGTCTTCCTACTGAAATACACATTTAGTGCAACTGCAGTGAGCATGTGAGGAAAATAGATCGAGTTCATTCAGACTCCATTTGGATCTTCTCTACTCTCTTCTAATTTTTGCCAGATCAAATCTATTAGTTATTTTACATAGTTATAATATGCTGGAACAGATTCTGCTAAATACTTTGAGGCTCATCAATATGAACAGAGCTGCTGAAAGACTCTTATTTCATATTCCTGTTTTCACCGCATTTATTATGCTGATGTCTTCTGATCTCCTGTAAATTGCCACTGGAAGCTCATTTCATTTATTTCAACAGACTGAGAGTATTTGTTTGTTACAAATATGTACATTAATTCTTGTTTATGCTTTCAAATGTTTTATTACCATTTTTATGTTTTACGGTGGCCGAGAGCTCAACGCACTGCAAATAGAAAACAACTTCGTACAACACATGCGCTGCAAATGCTTACAAAACAACCAAATAAAGAAGAAATAGAAAAAAACACCTGCAAATTAAGAGAACAACTTCATAAATTTGACAACACGCGCGCTGCAAATGCTCACAACGCAAACAAACAAAGAAACTCGCTGCAGATCAAATTCTTTATTTGTTTGTGTTGTGAGCATTTGCAGTGCGTTTCTTTATTTGTTTGCGTTGTCAATCCGATGAAGATGTTTTCTTGATTTGCTGGTGCTTTTTCTATTTGCATGCGTTTTCTGAAGTTTTGAGCTCTCTCGGCCACATAATATTTGCAAGAATTTACATTAAATTGTAATCTGATATGTTTCTTTATATATGACTGTATTTGAATGAAGACGCAGAATAACGTTAGGATTAGCAATACAAATTATTTATGAATTGGCATCAGTTACTTTACGATGAATAGACAGACTGACATAAATGTTTAGAAGTGTCATTTATTATGAAAACAAACTCAGTAGCTGATATAGTTTTAATTTTGGCAGATTAGCTCTCCCCATAAGAACCCTGCAGAATGAAACGTGCTGAAGAACAAACAGGTTGGTATTTATTCTTTATTCCTCATTCATTCATGATGCTGAAGAACAGTATTGATTTTTAGAGCCATAAATCATAAGATGTTCCTGAAATCCCTTTCATGGCATCCAACAATCTCTGCAGCTGAATAAAATACAGATAGAGAAACATAAAGACAATAAACACATGATTGCGACAATATATGGTTTATCTGTGTTCTTCAATCCATGTAAGGTATTTTTATAACAATAGAGTATATTTATAATGTAACAAAAATCAACATAGTCTTTATCACTTTGCAGAATACTTAAGCAGGCTAACTGTTTTATTTTACATGTATTTTATATCTGGTTTAAAATTTGCAACAGTGTTACCAGCATTTTAGACATTTTCAAAATAGTTTACAACATTGTTATTTTTTTTAGGAATAAACAGTAAACACCAACATGTATGATGTAAATGAACTTTCCAGAATGGCTGACAGGGCTGTAAGCATAACTTACAAAACTGTAACTGTACACAAGCATAACGGTTAGAGCAGGGGGCAGAAAAATAAATATAAAACTGCTTTTATTTTCTTATTTATTTATTTTTATTTTTTATTAAACAGGGTCTGTTAAATAGTGTCTTTGCATTTAAATAAATTCAATTATAATTACAAAAAGTTATTGCTGTAATATGAAGCCCTTTTTTGCACATTACTATAATATTAAAGGCTGGTTTTGCATCAACTTCTAAATCTAATTATCAAACTTTTTCTATTTCAATTAATTTTTTTAATATAATTAACAAAGTGGCTGTCATAACTTCTTTTCATTATGAATTTACATATATTAAGTAATTAAGTCATCACAAACAGTGTATTGTCAGCAAAGTCACGATACGATATATATCACTATACTGAGGCCACAATGGTTGCTCTAAATTTCAGCAAAGCAGAATTTAGTAAAACAGCTGTTTATTAAACACTGCATACTACAGCGCCATTGCTAACTATAGGCAGAACAGACAGTTGCCCGCTGCATTAGGGCTGGGTTTTGACACCAATTTCACGATTTGATTTGATTAAATTTGATTCTGATTTGCAAGCTTTTGATTCGATTCAGTTTCCGATTTAATTCGATAATGATTATTTTGGATATATGGTACAGTACATGCCAAATTTTCTGAAGGACAAAAAAAATCTCTCAACTAATGCTGTAAAATATACATGAGTCAGTTGGTACCACATTACTGAAGGTTAAAATTAACTGATTTGAATGCAAGCATTTAAATTACACTCAATGAAGATTTTATAATAATAAAATTACAATTACATAATTATATCTCAACTCTAATTCATTTCTAATTTTTTTTTTTTTTAATGGTGGCTGTCAAAAAAACTTGATGGATTTATTCAAACATAAATTAAAGATTGAACAGCAGCAAAAAATGAAATGAAAATGCTGAATGCACTTGGCCGAAAACCGAAATGGTTTTTAAATAATTATTTATTACTTTATTGCATAAAATAATTCTGAAAGACCTAATTTAACTTAAATCATTTTAATGATACTGAATTTAAAAAAAATACAAGCCAATAAAATAACCAAATTTTTATTGAAAGTAACACACAGTGACGACGGCTAGAGGAAGAGCGAAACCTGTGTGCTGAATTATTTTCGGCCATTTTGCTCTTTCAGCTGAAAACTGAAAATGCCATTAAAATTATCGGCCGAAATTTCAGGGCATCCCTAGTTCTTTCTCACAGCGAAATTCGCTTTACTTTGTGTTTCTTGTGTTTCACATGCGTATACATGGAAGTGAGAAAAGTTTACTGTGACTGAACCTTAATAATGAAAATGTTTTTAGTAAAAAATTAAATGTCGATCTAAAAGTTGGTGACAAAATATGACCGTAATATATATTTTAATGTTAATATCATGTTAGATAATTGTGAAGTGAAGTGAAGTGACATGTGGCCAAGTATGGGAACCCATACTTGGAATTAGTGCTCTGCATTTATCCCATCCAAAGTGCACACACACAGCAGTGAACACACACACCGTGAACACACACCCGGAGCAGTGGGCAGCCATTTTTGCTGCGGCGCCCGGGGAGCAGTTGGGGGTTCGGTGTCTTGCTCAAGGGCACCTCAGTTGTGGTATTGAAGGCGGAAGAGAGCGCTGTACATTCACTCCCCCCACCTACAATCCCTGCCGGTACGAGACTCCAACCCACAACCCAGCTCACTTTTATGTGTTCCTGTTTTTGAATTATTTTGATGTACTAAAAATGAAATTAACTCTAAACTTTTTCTTTAATTTCAGCACTGATGGAAGAGAACGAGGAGAGTGAAAAACTGAGTGAAGTGGAGGAGGAATATCATGACAAACCTGGAGAAGAACCTTTAAGTCCCTCAAAGACCAAAAATACATTTTTAAAGAAAAGAAGAGCCAAGAAATCTACAACCTGCACTCAGTGTGGAAAAAGTTTCAGAAGGAAATATAATCTAGAGATTCACATGCGGAACCACTCTGGAGAGAAACCGTTTACATGCACTCAGTGTGGAAAGAGTTTCTTAACCAAACGTAATCTTAATGTTCACATGAGAATCCACACTGGAGAGAAGCCGTTCACATGCGATCAATGCGGGCAGAGCTTCACACAAAAACCAGCCCTTAATGTTCACATGAGGATCCACACTGGAGAGAAGCCGTTCAAATGTGATCAATGTGGAAAACGTTTCACGAGATCAATAAACCTTAAAGTACACATGAATATCCACACCGGAGAGAAGCCGTTCACCTGCACTCAGTGCGGAAAGAGTTTCACAAGGAAATATAATCTAGAGAATCACATGAGGATCCACACCGGAGAGAAGCCATTCAGATGTGATCAGTGCGGAAAGAGTTTCTCAAGTAAACCAAATTTTGACGTTCACCTAAAAGTTCATACCGGAGAAAAGCCATTTATGTGTGATCATTGTGAAAAGAGATTCTCAAACAAACAAAGTCTTCATGTTCACTTGCGAGTTCATACTGGAGAAAAACCATTCACATGTGATCAGTGCGGGAAGAGCTTCAGTCAAAAACCAGGTCTAATGGAACACATGAAGATCCACACCGGAGAGAAACCGTATGTATGCGAACAATGTGGAAACTATTTCACATCCAAACATAGTCTTGATGCTCACATGAGAGTTCATACTGGAGAGAAGCCGTTCAAGTGTGACCAGTGTGGGAAACGTTTCACGAGATCAAGAAACCTTAAAGGACACATGATGATCCACAATGGAGAAAAGCCGTTCACATGTGATCAGTGTGGAAAGAGTTTCAGACGCAAACACAGTCGTGAGATTCACATGAGAGTTCATACCGGAGAGAAACCGCATGTGTGCCATCAATGTGGGAAGGGTTTCCTCCGATCAGCACACCTTAAATCACACATGAAAATCCACACTGGAGAGAAACCGTTCACATGTGATCACTGTGAAAAGAGATTCTTACACAAACAAAATCTTAAGAAACACATGGGGATCCACACCGGAGAGAAGCCGTTCACATGTGATCAGTGCAGCAGAACATTTCTTAGGGCATCAGTCCTGAAGGCACACCTGACAATTCATACGAAGGAGAAACCGCATTCATGTTCTGTGTGTGGAAAGAGTTTTTCACTGCCGCAAACTTTACATGTACATCAGAAAACACATAGTGGTGTGAGAGAGTACATGTGCTTTGAGTGTGAAAAGACTTTTACTTCAGCAAACTGTTTAAAACAGCACAAGATTATTCACACTGGAGAAAAACCTTACAAGTGTTCACACTGTGACAAGAGATTTAGTCAGTCTTCAAATCTGAAAACACATGAGAGGATCCACAGCAGAGAGAAACCTTATAAGTGTTCACATTGTGACAAGAGATTCAGACAGTCAGGATATCTGAAAACACACAAGATGTTCCACACTGGAGAGAAGCCGCACACGTGTGATCAATGTGGGAAGTGTTTCGCTATTAAAAGTTACCTGAAGATACACGAGAAGATCCATGCAGTGGCGAAACCAGATCACCGCAGTCTGAAATCACAGTAAGTAGTTCATCTTTGTCAACAAAGTCTGAAATCTTTAAGTTTGGTTTGTGTGCCTTTCCAGCAGCAGCTTATCCTGTGACCTCCTTTATTTTACATTTTGTTCATAGAAATGTCATTCACTGCTGTAAATTGACAATTGGTAGATGTTTTCACACAGTGGCTCTCATTTATAAAACAAGCGTACAATCATTTCCATGTGCAAATTGGCATTTATCAATGTGCAAATACTGTCTGTCAACAAATGCTGATGTTTCTCAGCTTAGAGGTCAATCAGCTTGTGTTGTGTAGGAAACAATGTGATTGCTTACAAATTACATGTCAAGCCTGTGCCATCTAGAGTTTTATGACCAAACTATAGTGATTTATAACACAAATCATCTTCATGACATTAAAATAGATCATAATCGTGAACAGCAGTTGATGGGATTAAAATGACTATTGAACTCATCAGTGATCTTGATTTGGGGGTTTATCACTTTTCATTTCACATTTGTCTCTCATTTGAAATCTCACTTGATTTAATGTTTCTTTTAGACCTGATGGACATGAACCAGAAAGAAAAAACAGAAGAAGAAAAAATTGTGAGCTGCACTCAGTGTAAAAAGAGACTGACATGGGTATCAGTCCTGAAGAAACACCTGAGGATTCACATAAAGGAGAAGACTCCTTTGTAATATTACAGCAGAAAAGACATGGCAGTGTGAGTTTAAGTGAAGAAAGTCCTTTACTACAGAAGATGAACTGAAAGAGCACCAGAAAATCCACACTGGAAAAAAACTTTCAAGGCATAGTTCAAGGAGCTGAAGAACAGGCCATAACATGTATAAGAAATTTAACTCTGATATTATTTTTTAACTTGTTCTTAATAATAGTTTATCTTCCACTTCTACTCTTCCATGCATATGCAAGATATACTTTTGCAGCCAGCCACTTTGCTTCTCTTCATCTCTTGTAAGTCAGTAAAGAGAGATATGTCTCATTCAGATTAATTTTTACTTAATCTTTGTATTTGCTTCAAGTAATGATCGATTAAACGCATTATTCCTATCAACAACTCATTGGTAATGTCCATTTTTACTTTATGCTCATTCTGTTTGTATCAAGAATAATTTTAGTTCTGAAAGCCATGAAGTTTGCCTATTATATTTCCTTTGGGGTTTTCTATGCTTAATTCTCAATTCAGGTTTTAAAATGCCTAAAATATATTTCACCACACACATGACTGACATTGAATGAGATTAACAGTTTCACTCTTGATATCCAGTGTCATACATACTCACACTGTCCTTTCATAGAGGATGTTCTAGTCGGATGATGTCTCCATTCACACCAGGAGGCTTCATGAAGTCAAAGCAATTATTATGAACACACGGATTGTAAAAAATTTATTAATTACTGCCTCCATTTCACCACAGTTTTACACAACCAGCTGAAAGAGCAGATGGAATAAAGATAAGCGGCGTGTAATCCTTGTTATTTTTTGTGTGGTTATGATTGATTTTTATGCTTTATCATTTTGTCAAGCATTTGGCGCGGTTTTGACCGTGGCGATGACGTCACTCGCTCGCGCGTCCCTCATTGTCTTCTGAGGAGAGGCGAGCAGTTCACGGTATTTCACATATTTACACAACCATCAAACACACTTTATACAGTCTGTTTACGCAAAATTTTACAGGCTCATTTCTGAATTGTTTTCATTGGGTTCAGCGCAACTTGTGCGTCTTTTCTTGCGTCTTCCTACTGAAATAGTGCAGCAGAGTGATTCTATAATTGCAGGTACATTTGGTGTCCGAAGTCATTTTTTTCAGCTTTTTTCAAATGGATACATTTTTTATTATTTTAATACTGTGTTACTCATTATTACGAATTACAAGCTGTCAGTTGTTACAGTCCATAACAATAATAATTTTTGCAAAAAGAGTGTTAAAAAGCTGAAAAACATGATTTCTTGTTGTCCGAATTAGTCAGTGCATTTTTTCCAACATGTCTCATTGTGTAATCAAAATATTTTATTGTACTTTTCGTTTGGTAATATTTCATTCATTTTATTTATAAAAGCCCTAAAGAGTCATTTACCTAAATCTACAACATTATTTAAAAAAAAAAAAACTTTTTTCTTATAAAAATGTGTCCGTAAATCTTGCGTCAACTCTGTTACCGTACCATACTTTGCCTTTAAATGAGTGGAATTATCTCCCACAACTATGTAAGATACAGGAAATGATGTCACTTTCCATCACTGTTAAGATCTGAAGCACAGAAAAAAGTCTGTGCTCTCTCAATAAGAAAATATGATCATCTAAAAAGTTCTGACACCAAGAGTTATTTTATAAAGTGTCAAATCTGTTACCATAATATCAAAAGGAAAACAGTTTTTTTCATTGATCACACTTTGTGTTATTTAAAAGTCTTTTAACCATGATTTCAGTAGTGCCATGTGCTCTTAATATTTATGCTAGCAAGTGGAGTTTTTGGCAAAAAATATATATATAATTGTCAATTCTGTTACCGTCAAACTCTGTTACCAAGGTAGAGTAACAATGCTGACAATGAGGTAACAGAATTGACAGTCCATCGGACAATTCTGTCAATTCTGTTATTTTACATTTCTGTTACTTAAAGGGTCAACTCTGTTTATGAACTATTTTCACAAAAAAACAATAAAATTGTTGTTTAAAATCTAATAAACACCATTGATTTATTTTTGCACCCTTATAATATTTCAACAACATTTATTTTTTTAACTGGATATTGTATAATACATTTTCAGTTGAAAAATATTTGCTCCAAGTGGGCAGTTCTGTGAAGACATAGGTCTTTTTTTTATTTTAAGGTATGCATAGGTGAAATATTACCTCAGTTTCAAGTGATGGAATGTAAGGACTGTTTGTGTAATGAAACAAGAAGGATTTTCCCTGTTATGATTTATTGTTATTTCTACACATTGGCTAATTTGTCCGTAACAGAGTTGACAAACAATACCATAAAGACATCTGTTTTTTTTTCATTAAAAGTAAAAAAAAGGAATTAACTTGTGTTCGGCAAGCACTGACTTATTAAAATTAAATGTTTTCAATAAGATACTGAAAAAAAAAAATCTGTTAGTGAAAAGTTTTTTTTTCTTATCTTTCTGCAATGCCAAATGTATCTCCAATTATAGAACCACCCAGCAGCAGCGAACATGTGAGGAAAATATATTGAATTAATTCAGCCCTGAGCAATTTTGACTGTTTTTGTGTGTGTGTTTGTTTGTGTGATTGTTTCGATGTTTGAAGAGAGAACTGTTAATGAATGTCAAGTCAAAAGTCAAAGTTTGAGATCTGTGAGGGGAATTGATGCTGTGTATTTTATTTCTACTCTTCTGACATCTTTGACAGATCAAATTTGTTAGTTAGTTTACATTGTTAAAATGTACCAGAACAAACACTGCTAAAGTGAGCCAGTAGACATTTTAAGTCAGTCGTTAATATAAATATGAATAACATTTGACACTAGGCACACTATATATTGCTATTGCTCTTTATTATTAAAGGTTTCATGATTGTTGTCAGTTTCTGCAAAAACAAAACTGTAACATGTTAATGGTCCAATTATACATATGGACATATTATGCTGCTGTAGTGTTGATGAAAAGGAGTGTTATTAGTGTTTGTTTTTGTATTATTGTTTTATCCATGCATATTGTGAGAAATAACAGTATTATCTTTCTGTAGAGCAGTTTTATAGGCTTTTATTGTATGTCCTGACTCTTAGTGAGATGATCTTCTGATGATCCTGAATGAGTGTTGATAGTCTAAGCCTCATCAATATTAACAGAGCTGCTGAAAAGACTCTTTATTTCATGTCAATAGTTCCTGTTTTCACCTCATTATTTATGCTGATGTCTTCAGATCTCCTGTAAATTGCCACTTAAAGTTTATTTAGGTGTCAACAGGCTGAGGGCATTTGTTGGTTTCAATTCTGTACATTTATTTCTGAGTTTATGCTTTCAATACAATATTAACAATTCATATATATATATATATTTTTGTTATCAGTTAGTATAAAAACAAACTCAGTAACTTATATATTTTAGATTTTGGCAGATTAGCTCCTTTCACTATAATTCGTCATCAGTGAAGCTCATCCCATCGCAATCACGTCATCGGTGAAGCTCCTCCCACTGTGGTTCACCAATAAATGCTGGAATATTCCCATCAGTTTAGTGATTTAGTGAAGTCAGTTTAGTGAAGACGAGCATTAAAGCATCAGGAAGAGCTTAAATGGGTCATATGATGCTGCTAAAAAGAACATTATTTTGTGTATTTGGTGTAATGAAATGTGTTTATGCGGTTTAAGGTTAAAAAAAACACATTATTTTCCGCATACTGTACATTATTGTTTCTCCTCTATGCCCCGCCTTTCTGAAACATGTCGCTTTTTACAAAGTTCATCGTTCTAAAAAGATGTGCTGTGATTGGCCAGCTATCCTGTGAGTTGTGATTGGCCGAATACCTCGAGCGTGAGACGGAAATGTAAGGCCCTGACCATATTGTGATGATGCCCTGTCAGGCCGGAGCGATGATTCAAAAGCATGAAAACCCATTATAAACGAGGCATTCGTTGCATCCAGTGGGGACATAATTATGGATTATAATGACTTATACTGTCTTTTTACGCGTTGCTTTGCATCGCGCAAACATAAAACCATGTCTGCATTTGTGATCGGAGAAATGACAAACAACAAGCCCTTCTCTACACTGCCCAAAAAACTCGCTTTAAATGTATAAAATATAAAAACTCTTTAAATATAAAAAATGTACTTACAGTCTTTGAGTCAGAACAGCCGGCATTGTAGTCTACTCTCCCAGGATCAGGAAACAGTCCTCCATAAAATGTGCTGCACAAATGAATATTTGGGTTGAACTGTTCTGGAACAGTGTTGTAAATACAACTTAACCACTGATTTCTAGTTGTGTCCATTTTTGGAAGACCAAACAAAGTAGTTTCGCTTTCACAATGAAACACAGCGTCACACACGGCGGCCTAGAGTGAGCGACGGCGGCCTATAGTGGGCAGAGGCCAGGGGCTAGAGTGAGGAACGGTCGGAGGGTTAGAGTGAGCAGAGGCGGGTGGGCTTGAGAACGGCGCAGCCGGCGATTTCGACGAAGGAGCATCCGGAAGGACATGTGACGACTCCGGGCTGGACTCCGCTTCGTCCACGGTGAAAGCCGATCCGGCGATCCACAGCGCAAAGTTGATGTATTTCCTCAGCAACCAGCACGGATCAGCTCCAGGCATGACGAAGCAGATATCGTCCTCTTTTGGAAGGCCAAACAAAGTAGTTTCGCTTTCACAACGAAGCACACAGCGCCTTCTCGTCATGGCGGCGGCATCAACAATACTACAGCGAGAATAAAAGTTACGCCTTCTTTCTTTGCGTGAACATTTGGGCGGTGTTATGCAAATCTTCCCACATAGTGAGGTAGGTATGTGGGGGCGTGTTAGAAGGAGCCGTTTTAGGTAGGTGTGGCTGACTCTTAACTTTTATAAAGAATATCTCTTTGGATTTGAGACTTTAGTCTTTGCAACTTTAGGGATCTTCTTTATGCACCAAGAGCTTGTAACACTCCAAAGAGAAAGGAAAAATTGAAATCGCATCATATGACCCCTTTAAATCTGCAAAGACTGAGTTTATTAAAGAGGAGAGAGAATATGGGAGATCCAGAACCCTGCAGAATGAAAACACTGAAGATACTGAAGAACAAACAGGTTGGTGTTTATACTTCATTCATGATGCTGAATAACATTCATGTTATAAAGATTGAAGTTCTTCATCAGATTTAGATAAACACTTAAACTACGAAATGTGTACAAAAGTTACTTTTTTGACTTTCAAGAAATTGAGGTTTACAAACTTTTATACTGATCGTTAATATCAGGCCAAATTAAAAGTTTTTTTTTTTGGCATTTATTTTATATCTGGCCCACAGTTTTTGCATCAGTGTTACAAAAACTTCTCAATATGGTTTACAACATTGTGATTTTTGTTATTTTTCCAGCAAATAAACAGTAAACACCAAGATGTATGACGTAAATGAACTTTCTAGAATGACTGACAATGTTGTAAGCATAGCTTAAGCAAAATCTGATTTACAGTTACTGATAAAGTTGTATTTCTCATAAATTATAACTAATTAAATAGTTATTCATAGAGATTATTCTTACAATAACAGAGTTGATGAAAGTGATCAGCACTGTACAGTTTGTGTGAAAACTGAGACAATGGATTGATGTGATTTATTTTTGTCCTCCCATCATGCTGTATAAAGAGCGCAGATGTCACTTTTTTTAAAAGGGAGGGAAATCATGTCAAAAGTAACAGGGTTGAGTTAAGCATGTAGGACACAGATATTGCTAATAAAAAAATTCAATTTAAAACTAGTTAAAGTTGCAGTCAGTCTAGACTTTCAGCATGTGAAATTCTTGCAGCGGTTGTGAAATGGGTAGGGGTGTCGCGATATACCGGTATTGACAATAACCGTGATATTCAAATAATGAAATATCGACATCGTGTTAATTTAGGGTGTGACGATATACCACAATATTTAAAATGAACAGGACGCTTATGATAACACGACACACAAATAGCCTTCTCCAGCGCTAGTACCTGGTTGAGCTCCCAGGTGGCAGTATTGTGCCTTAACGCTGACACCTGTCAAAGACGTGGCATGCGGCCGCGCGCTACTCCGATAAGAAAAACAACGTCCAATATTATACAGAGAGTAACGCCTGTTTCACACATACTCCGTCTGCAGTGCGTATGCGGTCCGTGTGCAGAAGCAGCACGGACTCATTGTGCTTTCACACAGGACGCGTTTGCAGTTCGCTCCTGATCCGCGGCTGTATACCACAAATCCAAACATAGTTAGCCTATACTGAAAGTGTTTTTCAGCATTGTGATCCTCTTTTATCACAGTACAGTTACACAATCTTTCATAGATGTATTCACGTTTAAACTCGATTAATATAAACAGCGTATTAAATGCATTTGGCTTCTAGATGTGTATTAAATTACTCAAGCAAGTGGAAACACATTTGATACAGCATATAGCTTTCTTGTGTTAGGTTATCACAAATATTTTAAACTAAAACTTACCACAGACAGAAACAGTCGGCTCTCGTGCCTTTTACATTTAAATCTTTATTACAAACAGTCCAGCGGGTCTTAAAGAACTTTGTTTTTCTACCTCCACAAGTGCATATGTTGCCTTGTATATCTAAAAGTGCACTTTTATTTGTTTTAAACCTAGCCAAAAAGCCCGTGAAACACAGTAGACTTTAATTATATCTATTTATTGTGAAATTACTACATTTCAGTCTCAATCCATGTTCAATTTTACCGCGAACAAAGCGCTGTCACTTTAATTCAGCGTGTGCAGCACAGCAAAAATAGACTCGGTGCGTAAACGATCGCTGCACTGCTGCAGACGCACCGCACCTGGAACGCACTGACGGACCGCAGCCGCGTGCAGTGTGAAAGCTCTAATCTATGGAAGCCCGTTTCCGCCACTAAATAAAAATATATAATTCTGTAAGTCATAATAATGAGAAACTAAGTCATTATTTCGAGAAACTAAGTCATTATTTCGAGAAACTAAGTCATTATTTCGAGAAACTAAGTCATTATTTCGAGAAACTAAGTCATTATTTCGAGAAACTAAGTCATTATTTCGAGAAACTAAGTCATTATTTCGAGAAACTAAGTCATTATTTCGAGAAACTAAGTCATTATTTCGAGAAACTAAGTCATTATTTCGAGAAACTAAGTCATTATTTCGAGAAACTAAGTCATTATTTCGAGAAACTAAGTCATTATTTCGAGAAACTAAGTCATAATAATGAGAAACTTTCTCCTAATAATGACTTAACCTAATCCAAAAAAAAAAAAAAAGACTTCCTCGGCGCCTGCGGAACGCAAGAGTGACAGCACGCTAGCGCCATCTGTTGGTCAAAGCCCTGCAGGAACACCGCTAACATTGCATGTGATGCATGAAAGGGACAGCTAATAAAACTAATACATCATCGAAATACACACCTATAAATTAAGTTTATATGTGTAATGGCTTTCATTTCTTCATAAAATGCCTGGATTTCTTAACTGAAATATTGGTCTGGAATGTCTGAAGCCATAACTATCTGGCAGAGTAACTATTACACAGGTAAGCTTGGCTACAGATGAAGCGTGGTTTGCAATATAAACTGCACAACATCTGTTGTAACGGCTTTCCAATAAGCCGCTGCCGTTGATAATATGAGTGAGCAAGTTCTAGAACGCGTACAAACAGAGTCCGTGCAAACGGAAATAGATGCTAAACAAATATCTTTCTTTATTTGTGCTCCAATAACAATTGTTCCAAAACAACTTGAACGCACACGCACTGCAGACGGAGTATGTGTGAAACAGGCGTCAGTTGCAATTATTTTATTCCAGTCATGGAATGGTAAACGTTACATTAACAGCGATTCCCTGTGTTCATATATTTAAATAAAGGGCTGACGTCTTTTAACAACAGAGCCCAATCTATTAAATTCAATTTCTATTTATTTTTAGATACAATAACCAACACTAAACAAAAAAATGTATGCGAACATATAAACTGCACATGTGCACATTGCAATTTTCTAGCAACAAGCTGTGGAATGACTTGCCTGCGGTAAAGGTAATGCTGTTTTACTGGCATTTTTCCGCGGTTGCAAAACTGATTGAGATTACATGACATCAGTGTGTTTATTTCACGTTATAACCGGTTGTAACTAGTAGAAAAGAGAATTAAAGGGAAGGGATGATGATATTTGGCTCACTCTGGGTTGGGATATGGCACTGTTTTGGTTCAGTTCTGGCTAAAAAGATCTGGACCAGTTTTGGGCCGGCAAACACGAACTAATCTGGGCCACACTTTAGCTGTTGATATGATCCAGATCCGCGCCAAAGGAAATTTGCTGACTGGGTCGCTTGCAGCGGTTTGTCACGCCGTCAAAGAGCGTCAAAACAGCATTTACGGATTTAATTTCCTGAAAAAATATACATAATTTTAAGGATGAGACTTTGTTTCTTATCGAAAAGATCAAAACACAAACCTTACGATTACAGACTGTAATGTATAGTAATAATGTATAGTGAAGATATATTCACGGCTATGAACTGAAACGGATTAAGTTCAGCACGTGCAGTGGTTAAAATGAGCACTGTATTTGCTCGTTACAAGTTTCGGTATGAATAAGTGTACCATTACACCCCTAGAAAACATTTAAAACACCAAAACTGCACTTACCTGCATAAGAATGTGTCTGAGCAAAAAAGGCTGTTGTTGTAGATAGGGAGCTTTTTCATCATCTTCTTTTTTTTTAGGCGATTGAAAGAGGAAGCAGAGCGGGAAATAACGGATATATTTTCAAAATTTCAGTAATCCACCAATAGGAATAAGGGAAGACACAAAGCAACCAATAGCATTGTTGAATGGGCTGAGATGTGGACTGCCACTGACCTGCCAGCAGTTTATAAGGGTTTTTCCAAATAAAAGCCAAATGTTAACCATAAGTTAACATATTCCATGGTGTGCCATAGCCAAGCCATTGTCATCCAAAAGAAAATTCCCTCCGATTCTAAATCCATGGCAAAACATATACGGTTAAAGTTAGGCCCATATGTGCTCAGCCATGCCATACCTAGGCCAAATGTGACAGCTATCAGCCACATTTGGCCCAAACGTTCTTGTTATCTGGGAAAGTGTTGGCTGGTGTCACTATCTCGCGAACGCGCCGGCGGATCTGCACCAAATTCGGGGGATCCCTTGAGCTCGAGGAGCCCTCTCAAACGCCACCCTCCGCGCGTCGGTAGCCCCCGATATATCGGTCGGGCTCTACAGGAAACGTTAAATATTGCTTTAAAATGTAATGATCATTGTCAGTTTATGTACATAAAAACTGTAAAATGTTAATGATGTAATAACTTTTTTTTGCAATTAATGTTGTTAGAAAATCAAACTTAAGATTAATATGGACATGTTAGGCTATGGTGTTGTAGGATAGCTATTACTTGAGTGTCATTAGTGTTTGTTTATTATTGTCAGTAATTTATCAATAATTTATTGATGTTTTGTCAATGTCATATTTGTATTTCAGTAGAGCAGTTTCATTGGCTTTTATCATATATCCTGACTCATATCTGTTCCTAACAGCAAACACTCAGAATAAAGTGAGATGATCTGCTGATGATCCTGAATAGTTAGAGGTAGAGGCTCATCAATATTAACAGAGCTGCTGAAACGACTCTTTATTTCATGTCAATAGTTCCTATTTTCACCTCATTTATTATGCTGATGTCTTCAGGTCTCCTGTAAATTGCCACTTAAAGCTCATTTCATTGGTGTAGACAGACTGAGTTTAAAAAATATATTTTTTATTACAAATCTTTAGATTTTTTCCCTATGTTTAGTTTTCAACTGTTTTTCTTACCATTATTTATGTTTAAAAAAATATTATTATTTATATTGTTGTGAAAACAATCTTGGTAAGTGTTATGTTTTTTTTTTCAGCTCCTCACATGCTGCAATTCACCTTCAGTGAAGCTCCTCCCACAATAATTACATCATCAGTGAAGCTCCGCTCCACAGTAATTCACCAATAAATGCTGTAATTTTCCCATCAGTTTACAAGTGAAGACGAGCATTGAAGCATCAGGAAGAGCTGAAATCTGCAAAGACTGAGTTTTATTAAAGAAGACAGAGAAAAGATGAGAGATCCAGAACATTGCAGAATGAAACGCACTGAAGAACAAACAGGTTGGTGTTTATTCTTGATTTCTCATTCATTCATGATACTGAAGAACTTGGGTAAATCAGATTTAGTTAAATAGTTGGTTCACAATTTTTGCAACCATTTTAACCACATTTGTATTTTTATTCATTTCTCAGTATAGTTTACTTTTTATAAATCAACAGTAAACCAAAATGTATCAAGTAATGACTTGAGCAAAATCTGATTAGTTACTGCTAAAGTTTTATTTCTCATAAATTATAGCTGTTATTCATAGTTATAGAGATTATTTTACTTACAGTTACTTTGGTAACAGGGTTGATGAATGCGACCAACACTATACAGTTTATGTATTTTTGTTTAAAAAGTGAGACAATGGATTGAGATGATTTAATGAAATAATAGCAAGCATGAGATGGCATTATTTTATAGTACTAACCGTGCTACAACTAAGTTGTTATATGGAACTACTATTTAAATTATTATTGTTTATTTAATAGTATTAATCATAACCTCTGACCAATAATCATACGGTTTAGTTTGTGACCGTGAGATCCGTGAGACTCTAATTGACACTGGAATCCAAATGAAAGTAAGAGATAAAATATAGTAAAATATAAAGTAAAGAGTTAAATAGAATAATCAAATGTCTACTTATATTATTATATAAATGACCAATAATCAATCAATCCAACCTAAATTCGAGGTGGTGATAAAATGAAGTCAGATAAATACCTTATTGCCTATAATGCTTTAAAAATAACTGGAAAATCAATGTATCTAATTCATGGAAAGTTTCAGGGACGTATAACTAATTATTAAAAGGCATCAAAATCATTATAATATTTTATAGCAGTTACATCAGTGCTCACTTTTATGTCCTTTCACTTCATATTTCTCTCTGAATTTTGATGTACTGAAAATGAAATTCAGCCTTTTTCCCTTTCATTTCAGAGCTGATGGAAGAGAACGAGAAGAGTGAAGAACTGAGTGAAGTGGAGGAGAAACATCATGACAAACCTGGAGAAAAACCTTTGAGTTGCTCAAAGACTAAAAAGACACTTTTAAAGAAAAGAAGTGCCAAGAAATCTTTGACCTGCACTCAGTGTGGAAAGAGTTTGACAAGCAAACGTAATCTTGATGTTCACATGAGGATCCACACTGGAGAGAAGCCGTTCACATGCGATCAATGTGGGAAGAGTTTCACACAAAAAGTACACCTTCAAGGACACATGAGAAACCACACTGGAGAGAAGTCATATGCATGTGATCAGTGTGAGAGAACTTTCACACACAAACACAGTCTTATTATTCACTTGAGAGTTCATTCTAGAGAGAAACCATTCACATGCGATCAGTGCGGGAAGAGTTTCACACAAAAACCACATCTTACGGGGCACATGAGGATCCACACTGGAGAAAAGCCTTACCCTTGCAATCAGTGTGGGAAGAGTTTCACGCAATCATCATACCTTACGCTTCACATGAGGATTCACACAAGAGAGAAGCTGTATGCATGTGATCAATGCGGCAAAACTTTTCTGTGGGCTTCATACCTGAAGACACACCTGAGAGTTCATACAAAGGAGAAGCCGCATTCATGTCACTTGTGTGGAAAGAGTTTTTCACTTCTACAACATTTAAAAGAACATCAAAAAACACATACTGGTGTGAGAGAGTACATGTGCTTTGAGTGTGAAAAGACGTTTACTTCAGCGAACTGTTTAAAACAGCACCAGATGATTCACACTGGAGAAAAACCTTACAAGTGTTCACACTGTGATATGACATTCAATCAGTCAGCAAATCTGAAAACACACGAGAGGATCCACAGCAGAGAGAAGCACACAGAGTTTCACTGTTAAACACTTGAAGCAACACATGAGGCTCCATGCAGTGGAGAAACCAGATCACTGCAATCCACGTGATGAGAGGTTAGTTCAGTTATCTCCTTTTTCTTTCATACGAAAAGCAGTCTGAAATCACAATGAGCAGTTCATCTTTATGTGCTGAACAGTAAAGTCTCTTCTGTGTAAGTTACTTTCCTAACAGCCACACTGAGCGTATTATAGAACATTTTGTTGTATGCTTGGTATCTGCTTCAAAATGTTAACATTATTATGAGATACTGAGACATGCACGTCCTGATTTTGCTAAGTTAGATGTGTTCCTAGGTCAACATATTTTGTTGACCCTGGAACAACATTTTAATCCAAATATTTAGTCTTGACCATATCCCTACACCGAAACCAAACCTTAACCATGAGTAATCCCTAAAATCAGAGGAAATGATAGATGAATGACACTGCTGTACAAGCACCAAACACTGATTGTAAGCCTAAACTTCACAAAAACTATAAAGTGGTTCTTCAAATCTGATTGGTTAATCACAATGTTGTTCCAGGGTCAACAAAGATGTTGATCCAGGAACATGTCGCACTTGATAAAATCAGGTTCTGCGCTGAGACATAATTATGAAAAAAATATCTCATAATGAGAAACATTCTCATAATAATGATTCTTTCTTGTAATTATGAAATATTTTTTTTATAATGAGACACTTTCTTGTCATTATGACTCACTGGGTCTCATTCACTAATAATTGCGTGGATTATTTTGTATTTGTATGCACAGAAGAACATCTCACGAAAAATCTCTACCTAATTTACAACAGGTTCGTATGTACATGAATTTGTTCTTAACCTCGTCCTAATGTTAGTGAATTTGGAGTATTGTAAATGAGGTTAGTCATTTGCATAAAACACGACCAAACCATCTCCATGTAAGGGCTTTCTGCACACTCTTTCATAATTTAGAATACATTTTATTGCACAATTTTGTGAATCGTGATTTAAAAAAAAAAATCCTTAAATCGTTCATACGCACATTTCACATACAAATGTGTGCGTACGCATGCTTAGTGAATGAGACCCAATGTCATAATAATGAAACAATTTCTTGTAATAATGAGATGCTTGTACATAATCAGATACTTTCTCATAATAACAACTTAACATCTCATGAGAAATGTTCTCGTAATAATGACTTCTCATAATTTACCTCGTAATAATGAGAATTTTTATATCATTATGAGAACGTATCTGATTATTTTGAGAATGTATCTGATTATTGCAAGAAAGTGTCTCATTATGAGATATTGTGAGAAAGTATCTGATTTTTATGGGATGTATGTTATTATTATAACAAAGTTTCTCATTATTATGACTTAGATTTTTGTGTTACTTAACTGTGGCGGAAACAGACTGAAAAGCAGCACTGCGCAAATTTCTATTTTTGATGGCTGCTTGCTATTATTAATTTCATCAATTAGTTGTTGCAGCCCTTGTTCATTTAAATTTTTTCGATCATAAAAACAATTGAAGAGAAATTGTGTTGTAGCTTTGACGAAACTTGATTATCCATGTTATCCTGTGTGATTTGGAAATCTTGAGTTACATGATCAATGTCACTTTTTTCATGTAATTAGTCTTGGTACTGGTGTAGAGTCTGAAATATTGATCTCACATCATGTCTATTAGAAATGAATTGCTTACAGATTACATCAAGTGTTTCATGACCAAACTACTGATTTAGTATAACACACATAATCTTCATTACATTAAAATAGATCATAATCGTGCACAGCGGTTGACCAGATTTGATGGGAGTAAAATGACTATTGAACTCGTCAGTGATGAGATCATCACTTTTCTTTTCATGTTTATCTCTCATTTGAAATCTCACTTGTTTCTTTTAGACCTGATGGACGTGAACAAGAAAGGAAAAACAAGAAAACAAAAAATCTGTCACCAGCCCTCAGAGATAAAAAAGATTCACATGTAAATCAAGCCTGAAGATTCACATGAGAGTTCACACTGGGAAGAAGCGGCTCAGGCTTTCACTCTGAAATCACGTCCTTTACTACAGATGATGAACAGAAAGAGCACCAGAAATTCACAGAAATTGGCAGAAACCCTGGAAACGCATGAAAGGATTAACACCGGAGAGAAACCACATCAGAGTTTCATTATGTAGTCTTCGCTCTTGATCACTGTAACTAGATCATCTTCAGATCCAGCAGGGTGACACCAAACGTGACACGATACAGACATTTCTTCCATAGAAATCTGTCCTAATCAGCTGCAGTGAGTGACTTGACAAAGAAACATCATCCAAAGTTGTGAAAATGAATCTTGAATAGTTTGTCATTTTTCTTAATGAGTTTGTATCTGTTACAGAGCTGACGAGACGTGAGACGTGCGGATCCATCTGCAAGGCTTTATTGTGGAGAAGACAGAGACGTGGTCATGAAGCAGGCAGGGTCAAACAGAGGCAGACAGGTATATGGTGGGCAAGACACAAGAACAGTCCTAGGGCTAGCGTGGGTCGACGATGGGCAGACAGAGTCAATGTGCAACAGTGTGTAGTGCGAGAGTCAATGAATTGGAAAGTTCATGGACCGGATTCGTGACAGTATCACTCAGTTCTTCTTTATGAAGGATAGTATTTTTTTTATGAACTGTTCTTGTGCTGCCATAGTTTCGAAGGGGCATGAAAATGAGGCCATAACACTTTTAAAAGAGATATGAATCTAATTTTAATTTTTAACTGGTATCCATAAGAACATCTAGCTTTTCTTCCTTCAAGTCTTCCATGCAAATGCAAGATATACTTTCATGTAGTTTGAAACTGGACACTGCTTCTCTTCTTCTCTCGAGATGCTCTGGCTCTAATACGTCAGTAAAGAAAGAGATCTCTCTCATTTGTTTTCACTTTTACTTTAATTTTGTATTTGCTTCCAGTAATAATTGATTAAACTAATTTTATCAACATCTTATTGTTATTGCCTCTTTTTATTTCTTGCTGATCATGCTTGCTTCAGGAATAATTTCTTAGTTTTAGTTTTGAAGGCCATGAAGTATTATGTTTGCTTTTGGGGCTTTTCATGTTTTAAACTTCTCAATAGAGCTTAAATGCCTAATAAATTTCACCACACACATGACTGACATTGAATATCGTCGACTCACAGTCCCTTCCCTCATTTAGTCAGCATTGAGTCTTCTGAGGTGAGCAGTTCACAATAGTTCACATATTTACACAACCATCACACACAATTTATACAGTTCAACATTTTACAGGCTCATTTCTGTATTGTTTTCTGGTTCAGCACTACTTGTGCGTCTTTTCTGGCGTCATCCTACTGAAATACACATTTAGTGCTGCAGGTATGGAAAATTTGTATTAATCCGAATATAAATTAAGTAATTATTCTGCAAGTGAACGTTGCTGAATGACCTGCCCAACTCAATCCGAGCAGCTGAGTCCTTGGCCATCTTCAAGAATCTGCTAAAAACACATCTCTTCCATCTTTATTTAACCCTCCAAATCTAGCACTCTCTATTGTAATTCTATTCTTAAAAAAAATAACTATCACTAGCTTTTCTAATCTTTTTGCGTTCTTTCGGTTTTCTTTTTATTTATTATATAATTAAAAAAAAACCTTGCTACGTGTACGGCGTTAAGATAACTGAGTCTTGTTATAGCACTTGTATATCATTGCTCTGTTGTTGATTTTGATTGCTACCGTTGTCCTCATTTGTAAGTCGCTTTGGATAAAAGTGTCTGCTAAATGATTAAATGTAAATGTAATCAATGGGATTGTGGCCTTTCATGTGAACAAGTTATTTTCCTATTATACTCGTAATGTATTTGTCTGAATGCAGAGACTGTAAGGGAATGGAATGTGTGAAGCCCCTCGTCACCTGTCCACATGCAAGGTTCACCCAATTGGCCCAACGTTGGAATCCAATGGAGTGGACGAACGTCTAATGCATGTAAGTCTTTTACTTGCGCTTCTGCAAAGTTCACTTAATTCATCAGAATTTAGTTGCAATTTTAGTTTAACTCTGTGTTGAATCTGACTCCAGTTTCAAGTGATTATTCAATTTAGGCTGTATTTCTAATTACAAGCTGATCACAAATATCGATTATGTATTAATTTATATATTAATTTATTCTGGATTTCCCATACTTTCAATTATTTGTTCATCCAGGACCTGATGTCTTATTTGAGTATCGCGTGGCCTGTGTGGATCTCACAATCACAAACTCGCCAGTCTTGTTTTAATCAGAGGATGTAGGTTGACTAATACCTTTAAATCTGCTGCCTGCTGATTGCTTTTGATAAAAAGTGTAGTTTACTTAGTTGTTTCCCATACAGCTTGCTAAATCAGTGATAGACAGAAAACAAAAGGTCCCACATGATGTGCCACGTGCTCCAGTTTGACCTGTCCTGGACACAGATTTGCAGTAATACCAGACTTCACTTAATCCACCTAATCTATCTTCTCTTCAGAATAGAAAGTTTATTGTTTTTTTTTACATGGACTAAGCAGTGACCCTGAAATTTAGGAAACTGTAGGTTGTTCTCTAATTTTGATCGCCACTGTATAATGTGTCATCAGTTTAAATTTAAATTTTAACCTTTCTTAAGTATGACCTTTTTATCTCAATTTTAACTTTTAAACTCATAATTTCATTTTTTTAAGTCATAATTTTGACTTTACTGACAGATTGCATCACCAGCATGCTCTTTGTCAAATTCATTTGCACGTTATTTGAGAACTGTTCTAATTAACTCCATAACTTCCATAAATTCCAGAACTTTTTGACAGCAAGGTCTGAAGATCTGATATGAGCCTGTGAGAAATATTTACACGCAAACTCTCAATAGTTGTAAGAATTGCCAAAAAAAAAAAGCAAACTGTGGAAAAGCACTGTTCATGAAAAAGTTCTGTGATCACAATGCATGTCTGATTGAGATGCGCGTTTGGTTCTGCCTAGTTCTGTGTGT